GCCCCCCGGGGCGGGGGGGGGGCGGCGCCCTCCGCCGCGGGGAACGGGTAGTCAATTCGGGGCAGGTGGCCCGGGGCCCGGCCGTGCCGGTGGGCGGTGATGGGGTTGCCCTGTAAGGCGTGGGGCAGGGCCCTTCCCCGACCCTCCGGCCTTGGCCTCCCTGTGAGCGGGTGTGGGGCGGGGGAAGGGAGCATTCCCGTACCCGCTGTCTGGGGTGATCATCGTCCAGGCACCCGGAGGATACAGCATCGGAACGGAACGCAGGTTTAGAGCTGGACGTGGATTTGTTTGTTTTGTTTTGTTTTGTTTTGTTTTTCATTTCTTGTTCTCTTTCCCCATTTTCCCTTGCCCTTTCTGAAGTTTTGGCCGTTGCATAGCGTTGTAGCCTGTCACTAAGCTAAGGGACAGCGAGTGGACCAAGGAGGAAGAGTGAAGGATGTGTGGAGACAAATGCCAAAGATAAAAGGACTGTGCTCTCTTCAAAGTACAAAAACTGTGTTTTGCTGCAGAGAAAGCTACTTTGATGGGGATGAGCTGTCTAGCATCTGAGGGTGCATAATACCTGTTTTTGAAATACAAATAGATGAAAGCATTTAGAAGGCTGGTGGGTTATTTTTGTTTACTGGGTCGTAATTACATATATATAAAAGTACAGAACTGGAGTATACCAAGAAAGATTTGTGTTGCGTTAGGTCAGGTACCTTTTAAAGCCAAAACCTTTGCACTTTTGTAGTCTGCAGCTTTCTATTGAAACAGAATGGAAGGAGTGCAGGAGTTCAGGTCTGTCTGCAGAGAGCTTGTTGCAAGCCTTAGGTAAATGAGAAGTGAATGGAAAAGTACAGTTGGTTCTGTTATACTCTTAAGTGAAAGTCTGTGATGAAGCTGGGATAAAGCTGTTGCTTTAATATTAATTTTACTGCTATGTTTATCGTAAGAAAAGGAAAACTTAAAATGACAGATCCTTTTTTGTTTTTCATTGCTGATTCCCTTGAGCACAATATATTGATTGTTGTTACAGGAGGACCTTCGTGTAGATGGTCGCAGCTGTGAAGACTACAGATGCGCAGAAGTAGAAACAGACGTTGTATCAAACACAAGTGGATCTGCAAGAGTAAAGCTGGTTGGTACATTTCTTAGGGATCACGTACCTTGCTGATGAGACTTCTAGTTTATGTGACAAGTTTTAAGATATGATGAGGCTCTTTGTAGATGAGTTTGCGTGTTTGTGTAATAAAATGTGTGTATATATAGCACTAACTGAAAGTATGGGTTAAGGAAATAATGACAGGATGTATAATTCATGCAGGCTGGCTTAACCTACTTGAGCTGGATTTGCTGTGAAGTACCTGGAAAGCCTTCAATCTGAACTAATCTACCATTTAATCGTGGAAAAAATGGAATTGCTGTTGTGCCTAATCACTGGAAGAATAATTATTTTCCTTTCGAGTGAAGCAAAACTACTTCTGACATGTGCTGACTGTGAAGAAGATAAATACACTGTGTAATGTTATAAAGTTTCTGCAGATAGAGTTGTTTCCAGAACCAAAATTATAGAAAAAGTCATCGATATGAAGAGTGTCTTTTTAACCTAGAGAAAACGATTATGTATATTAATTGTTCGAATAAACTTTTTAGGCTTAATATTGCTCTTTGAAACTCTTCACTTTTTAAAAAACTAATGTGATTTTAAGTTCATTCCAATAGCATGGTGGGTACAGATAATTGAAAGGTGGAAATGTCATCTTACCATAGACATTGAGATTAAAGTAGTAGTTTTGTGAATATAATTCTAGTTGTGTGATACGTTTTTGTTTTAACAGGGACACACTGATATCTTGGTAGGTGTAAAAGCTGAAATAGGGACACCAAAGTTGGAGAAACCAGATGAAGGTTACCTGGAATTCTTTGTTGACTGGTTAGTATACTAGAAGAAAAGGAAATAGATCTATCTATTTGGAATAAATGACTAATCAGATTTTACCGTTTTTTGAAGTTTATACCTTCATTCCACTAGTTTCTCGTAAGGTCTGAGTAATAGAAAATAGTTATTCTACTGTTTCAATAGCGGTGAATGTTCAGAAACTTTCTGCTGGTTCTGTGGACCCAAAATAAGCAAAACAAGAGGAGTGAAGGAATGAAATTAAGTTAAAAAAATAAATCCAAAATTGCATGGCATCATTGCAACTGGAAAAGTGTAATAGTTCATTTACATGTGCTTTTGATGTGATTTCATGACTACGATGTCAGCTGTCTTTTTTGGAGAGATAGAATAGAAAAAAACCTCTTTCAAAAAGGAAGTATTCCAGAAGAAATGAATTGACTGATACTGATTGTACTTTAACTGTACTTAAACGATTTTGCTTGCTTTGTCTTTGAAAGCAGTGGAAAATGTTTGAAGTGTATTTTGTACGAAATTGCTTGTTTAAAAAAAGAAAATCCTCACTGTAAACTTCAGATGCAGAAGTTCATTAGAAAATTTATTTATCACATTTATCAGTGAATCAGTATTTCATTAACTAAAATGGCATTTGTTTTTAATCACATTCCTGGCTTTGTGCTACAAATGGGCTATTGTTTATCTTTAGTCTTCATAGTGCTTCGGTTATGAAGGAAGCTAGAAGAATTCTAAACTAAGGGCTTTTGTTTTCAGGTTTCTCTGAGATCACATAGTGACATCTCAATGTTATTCCAGACTCTCTGCTGTCTGAAACTACAGTATCCATGTCTTGCGGACTTCCTAAAACTGTTCTTTATGAAGTGATTTGCTTTAGGAACCTCTCATAAAAGCCTCAGCGTTGTCAAGCTGTTCTGCATTTGACCTTTTATTTTTTTTGTTAAAAAATGGTACTACTCTGATGTTAAACCAATATACCATTAGTAAAGCCAAGGTATGATTGCTACTGAGTAAGTGTATATCTGATGATCTTTCTGACCTAACTGGCTATATCTGCCTTAACATTTGTATTTCACATTATGCAGCCTTATCTAAGATGTCCTCTGTATGTCACGATGTACTAATTAACTGTCAAATCTTACAGTTTGTAGAGGGAAGGATTTGCCTATTAATTAATGGTTTGTCTGTGATTATTGTTCAAAAACTGTAAGACAGGAAGTTGATCTTCTCAAATGTGGTCCTCCTGTTGGAGGGATCTGAACTTGACTCCTTTATAAAACTCATGTATGAAATATCCTGAATAGAACCCGTTTTGTTCTGGTGGCTTCTGTAAGAAGGAAGTCCAATGACAGCAGGGACATTTCCTTACCACAACAAGTGGTCTGTGGGGATGTTGCAATTCTGTGACACTTTCATATGTAAATAAATGTTAGAAAAACTTTAACTCATTAGATTAATGTTAAGTTGTATTTTCTGTTAATCTCTGCTTCGTAAGAAGATGGGAGGGAGATGTGCAGCAGTATTGTGCAAGATGGATCATGTCAGTTCTAGAAATAGGTAATCCTTACTTTCTGTGGCAACACAGACCAAAAACCTAAATTTTAGAGAAGAATAGTCACTTCTTGCATGTTTGTGCCACCAGGGAAAGGTGAACTCTAGCCTCAAGAAAGATGCAAAAGATGAAATGTGGAGTGGGAGCACCTTGTTCGCTGTAAAGGGAAATGAGATGCTGTCAGTACTGTGATGCTTTTCCAGGCTGCCACTGGGTGGTAGTAACTGAGCGTAGTTTGGTACTCTGCATCTCGTAGTGAAGTTCCTGTGTGTTCTGCTTGGCTTTTATATTGTTGAAACTAATAATAAAACTCAGGCTGCAGTGTTTGCTATCTTAAAATGCTTATTTCCTGAAACTTTAATTGTTTCTTGTACTGCTGAAAATAATCCTTTGCTGGATCATGCTTATAGTTCTCTGCCCCACATTTCCATTTCTCTTCATTGTGCAGTCCTTAACCTAAAATCTGAGAAGCACATTTACTCCTATTTTGAGACAGATTTTAATGCTAGTCTCTGGAAGAGATTATTTTTGAGGCAGTGATTTGTGATACTAGAAATTAAATCTCATAGAACAAGTCCATGTCCTACCTGATGGTACCTACTGCCCATCAGCACTGGAGAAGATGCTCATCCTGACCAGTGATGTTGAGACTGCTGTGTTTGCTTTTCTCTTGTTTGAGTTCTAGGACTATTCTAATACTGACTTGTTAAGAGGTTTTGGTTTTTTGGTTTGTTTTTTTTTTTACTGAAGCAAAGATTTCTTATTTTCAAAGTGTTAGAAATAACAAAAAAAACCCCCAAAATAGACATCTGGATCTCTTGAATGCATTAGTTTTTGTTTGTGGAACTAGGGAAACAAGGAATGTATTTGTCCAAGTCTGGCCATCTGTTCTCCACTTTGAAGGCCAGACATGCTTTTGTTCCAGCTGGAATAGGGGCCTATTTCAGTGATGCCTGCATAGGAGTCTGGATCAGGTACTATTATAGATGCAAAGCCATTCTTCAAATCATAAGAGATGGCAGTATTGTGGAACAGCCATGTCAGCATGCTTTTAGGTGATCCTTAGATGCTGTTGTGGGGAAAATGTTAACTTAAAACAAATTTTAGTGCAGTCACTGAAGATACCACTTGAATCCGTGCAGGAGAGGAACCTTTCTTCCCCTTCTCTCTCCTGTTATCATGGCAACTGTTCTTTGCAGAGGCAAGAGGCAAACTACTGAGTTTTGAAAGAAGAAAATGTCTTTCCAATTTTTTTTACCGTACTTCCTCCGTTAAAGATGGTTTGTAGTGGATTTAGCGTGGTTTTCAGGAAGAAAAGCCATCTGATGCTTGAAGAAAAACTGTTTCAAACTCTATGAGCAGATCTTCCTTTCGGATGGGAAGTGTAGTAACAAATTCCTCACCAGGCAGAGACCTGCATCAGTAAACAATGTTGGTAGAGTTACCAGTTTGACCAGACTAACTCCAGACCCTTGTTAGCCCAATTCTTTGTAGGGTCATAAGCTTGAATATCACCATAATCATATTAACACAGTTACACAGCATCTGGACCTGAATTCAGGTCTTTCTATTTCTGGGACTGCCTTGGCAGTGCATATGTGTCATAAATGTGCTATCTTCTGGCTGCTTTCTGGAAGGGTAGAATATTAGTGAGGTGGTTAACTTACTGCTGATTCTAAAACAGTGAATCTGCCACCTTCTTTTAAATTATTGGATCTTTTTGGTGCAAGAGTAGAGACCTCGTATTGGTTGCTTGAAGTAAACATGGCTTTAAGGGAAGAATATCCTCTGTGTAATGAAGCCCTTGTATACCAGGCAAATAGCTATAAGCTTTTCTTTAATTAACTGTTTTACCTCTGTTATAATTACTTACAGTGTAGATTATAGTATGTTAATGGCCTTAGCAACGGATGGGAATATACTTAACTACTGTGAGGTTTTGAAAGTAGAGATCTGTGGTAGAAGCCTCATTATGCTTTAGAAGTCTTGATTGTTATGCGATATGACACTGGAATGGTTTTGAAAGTCCTCACAATTGCATTCTGTTCAGGAGTAGAAATTTTGTGCTCCACTTGGCCACTAATAAGTTCTTTCTGTGCTCCAAAAAGCGAGCTTTTTGGCATTTTCTCTTATTAATGTGTTAGGCAACCCTTTGAATTTTTTACCCGGTGTAAATTACTACAATAGTCTGTGAGCATTGGGTGGCAGTATTTGTCATACAGTTATTATAGTAGTACCTTGCTAACATTACTTTTTTATTTCACTTTGATTGCAAGGAATTGAAGTGTTAGAATAATAGTGGAATTAAGATGCAGTGAAACTTGCAGTAATAGTCTAATTGAGTCTTACGTTCTTACTTGCTGTCAGAGACAGCAGCCATTTATAATTAAAAGCTACAACATTTGATAAAACTTTGTGTTTAGAAATAATAATGAGGTATAGACTGAGATTTGTATAATTCTTTTCACCTTACCATGGGAATCATAATGCTTGCATAAGCATACTTTTAAACAGAATGATCTAGTTTTGTGAAAGCTGCTTCCATGGATAAGTGCTTGTTTAATACAACCTAAAAGCCTAACTCAACATATTTCCAGAATTAAGTTCTGCTTAGATGTGATCCTGTCTTATAAGATTGGTCTCTAATATTAATGCAACTATGAATAATATTATGTCATAGTTGCAGTGCTTGTTCATGTGGCAGATGTAGTTTGGAAGCATAGGTCAGTGCTTGATTGGCAGTGATTTATTTTTTTTTAAGCACGTATAGTGCTGTCTGGTTATAGAAGCATCAAGTAGCTTTTATAAAATTCAGTAGCTCTTCCTGGCATTCTGAGTTTTTATAAGTTCTGCAAAAAAAATAAATTGGGAGAATTACTGTGAGGTAAGGATTTCCCTTGTAGGCTCTGCAGTCCTGTTGATACAGCTCACTTGATGGTGTTAAGTCATACCTAGATAATGTGGATCTTTAGTTGTTGGTTTTTTAAAAGGTGAAGGGATTATATTCCAATACTTTGTTTTCTGCTGTGTGTTTACATTCCTGTGGTGTTTCTGTTGGAAGAGCTATGAGTTTGTATCATCGTATAAACACAAAACATACATGAGAAATTGGCACTGAGGGCCAGGAGAATACAAGGCTTTGCTGTTACAGGTTTTGAACGTATCAAAGTACTCTACTGTGAAACCACCTCCTTTCCTGTGCTCTGAAATGAGAGATTTATTCAGGGGAGGTCCAACTAATTTATTTAAAAACCAAGATCTTCAGTATGTGCTATGGCTTCACTGCTTGTGAATGCTCTTGCCCTCTCTATAAACCAGAGGTTGGATTCAGAGTATTTTTTATTTTGCTGTAGATGCATCTCTGGATGTTTCTGCTCTAATTCATTGTGATTTAGAGGTGTTTTGGGTTTTTTCTTGGGTTTGTTTTTTTGTTTTTGTTTTGTTTTGCTTTGTTTTGTTGTAGTCCTGTTTTCTTTTAGTGTTAGTTCTTAGCTGTGTACAGTGCCCCAGCACCCAAGGAGTTTCTTGCATGACTGCTCATAAACAGATTTTGTTATGTTGGAATCAGGAAAGTGAAGGCCACGCACTCTTGTCAGATCCCTTCTGGAAAAAAAAAAAAACAACACAAAAATGTTCTTAGTTGCTGCTCTCCATAAGCTGCAGTTGCTGAAAATAATGAGCTGCTCTCTGTAAGCTGCTTGATAGCAGAGAGTACACTCAGTAAAGAAGTTACCAATTAAGGTCAGACAGTCGTGTCACATTAAGAAAAAAAAGTATATTCTACTTGTCATATCGTCACATCTTTCTGTTCTTAGCCCCTCTCTTATATTAGTCGTTTAACATAAAACTCTAACAGGCTGTGTTGTTAGCTGTTCTGAACTTAGTACAGATTTTTCTTGCTTTTTTATTTTTGAAAGGGTTGATAGAATATGAGAGTGATGAAGAAACAATCCCTGAGAGAATTCACCAGCTTTAGTATTGTAACTTGGGAACTGAAGATAGTAGTGGAATTTAATTAGTATCAGAGTTTGTAGCAAAGTGTAGGTATATTATCTGCATTAAGACATTTTCTTATGCAAAATGGAAATAATTTTTTCACAGATTGGAAGCTTATTCTTGTACAAATAAATCCTTAGATATTTCTAATGCTTTATATTTAAGAAATGTTCTTTGGATATTGGCTGCTTCAGAAGTGAAATTACTTTTTCTTTCTTTATCTAGTTCTGCAAATGCTACTCCTGAATTTGAAGGCCGTGGAGGAGAAGAGCTTGGCACAGAGATAGCAAATACATTCTACAGAGTATTTAGCTGCGAGAGCACTGTAGACTTGAAATCACTTTGTATTAATCCCAGAGACCACTGCTGGGTTCTCTATGTTGATGTCCTGGTAAGTAAGGAAATGAAAACTAAGATTCAAGGACTTGGCATAACCATGTGTATATTCACATAAAAAAGCTTCTCATAATGTGATATAATGCTTCACAGCATGGGTGGCTGTTTTCTTGTGAATCTGCCTATGGTAGTTAATCACTAATTCCAGCTTGCTCTTTTTCTATTATTCTTGATCCTGCTGCTCCACTGCAGAGCTAATAAAACACTGAATACTCCAAATCTGTCTCAGATAAAAATCAGTGACCTTGTACTGACAAGAAAATTACCACTAAAGAAGGCTAAACTTTTTCTCAAACTAGATATAATAGCAAATGTATTATTCTAATGAATGTAAGTTAGCATGAGTGTATGTTAGCCCTAGTAAAACTGTCCATCCTGTCTACCTCTTTGCACTACTATCAGTACTCAGTCAGTAAATTAAAATAGAAACTTTTCTGGCAAAAGTTACGTTTAGCCTTGGCACTCTGATGAAAGCTATATACATGTACTGAAGGTAGAAAAGAAACTAAATATTTGTTCCTGTTTAAAAAAATTAAACTGGGTTTTATGCATGTAAATCTTGTGCATGCAACAGCTCAATTTGCAAACTATGCTGTAGTTAAAGCATAGTTTTAGAGTGCTAGTTAAAGCACTCTATCATGGGAATTTAATAGAAGTCTGCAAGTCAGACTCTCCTGAGCATTATTTCTGGTTCTTGTTGGTCTATAATTGAGTTTCTGTTTGTCAAATTTGTAACTGAAAATATGTCAAGGGATCTTACTCACAGGAATCCATTAATGTCTATGAAATTATTTGCAAAACATTAAACTGCATTGCTAAAAAAAATAACTGCGAGTTTTGTTAAACAAAATGGAAACATTCAAGCTAAGACCTAATTAAATGTGAAAATTAGTCCATTAGGTGCTTAAAAAGCGGTAGCATTAGCCTGAATATAGTAGATAGGGTACATACTGTGATTTAGTCTGCATACAGAATGATCAAATGTGTGCCACTGCTGGGTGCTTTAACAGTCCTAGTCACCAGCTTACTGGAGCTTGGCATGGTTTAATAGAGAATGAAGTGTTAGTTCTGAGAAATCACACTGGGGCCTTTAGTTACTAGGTAATTACAAGCAGAGGTACAGAATATTAAATGCTGAGCTTGTTTAAGCAATGTACTGCTTAACATTGCATAAACACTGCATAAACAAAGACTTTTGCAAAGCTGAATGTGGCAGGAGTAGTTCTGTGTAGCTCTTGTATGAGGTATAAATGGCCATTATTTGATTCTTCCTGGACACATTTTTTGATGGTCCACAACTACAGAGAAAACCAGTCTTGTTATTTTTATGCTACTAGTTGTATCAGAATTATGAATATCAAGACCTATACTATGTGATGAATTTTACATTTAGTTTTGTTTACAGTGCCAGTCAATCTGTTGTAGGTTCATAACTAGGACTCTAAACTGGATGAGTCTTTTTAATGTTATTCTACAGGGCTTTTGTGTGTGAGCTATTGAAGAGCTGCTGGTATAGTTAGAACAAGACACTGTTAAAATTTGTCTCTTTATTCTGTTTCTCCCCTCCTTTTTTTTTCCACCCTAGGCCTCTATATTTTCACATTTTTGAGGTATTTGTACTATTTCCTCTTCTAAATAGAAGACATGTATATCACATGTGATAGTTCATACTTGATGTAGGTGCTTGATACCTACAGATTTTCCTGAAGTTGCTCATGCTGAATCATTCCTATAGAACTCTATTAAAAAAGTACATGGTGGAAGTACGACACTTGTGCTAATAGAAGGCACTACAAGTCATATTACTCATTATTTGAGGGAAGCAGATTCTAAATATAATAACAATGCTTATTGAGAGTCCTTTGGATTATGTTTTCCTTTGGAATTCCTGGAAATTTTTCACATTAATGTTTGTGTTGCATAGTTAAGTTGGAGGTAAAATAAGCCTTAAATCTGTCATAGGCCTGAAACCAGTAGTACCTTGTGGTCAGGTGGGAAGGTGCTTGTTTTCAAGTCTCTCATGCAAAAAGACAAAAACCCAGAAAGAATATTAGGAATCTGAAGATGCTCCATTGCTATGTAATTTAGCTATGTACACTTCAATGGAAGCATCTATATTCAGTTCCTGTGTGTAAGCAAAATTTGAGATCTGCAACCTCAAACGAGCAAATAATATATTTTGTGTAGTCATGCAGCTTATCGATTAAAAAACATCTCTCAGAGATTTTCTAGTGAACACTGTAGTTGAGAGGTGCTATAGTTGTGTACAGTCAGATTAGAAAGAAAATAACTTCAGCTACACACGCTACAAAGATGAAGCCATATGAGCTCGTACAGGTATGTGTCAAGGTCAAGAATATATACCTTGATGTTCCAAAATACATGCATTCTTTCTTAATAATAGAAGGTGTTCCACTTCAAAAGTGGAGAATGTGGAGATACACGGTACTGCAAAACTATAAGCCTCTTCTCACCCTCTCTGTGTTTCCCTCAGTTTCTTTCCCCTTCTAAGTCACTGATGTCAGAAATAAGCTTTTAGGCACTTTTGAGGGTGTTTTTGGTGTATGTATAGCCTTTGCCACGTAATTTGCCTGATTTGCAGTGCTGAGGAAGGAGAATCAAAGTGTGCAAACTCTTTTTATTCCCTATCCCGTCACAGCACGCTGTGTGTTGGGGGAGATGCCTTAGATTCTGTTGAAATTTTAGCAGTTCACTACTGAGTATCCCTCCGAGGATTTCTTCATCTTTTCTATTCCCAACTAGTTTGAAAAAAACCCTAAACCTTAGAGATCTGTCCTTTTGAAGGAAAAATTTATTTGAATAAGGCAAGATCTACATTGTTTTATTTCCCCCCCAGAAAGCTTTTCATTTGTGTATCAGTAAATTAAAAGCAGTCCTTTCTGAAGACTCCTTTGCTTCTTCCTACCACTCACAGTTGTGCAGACGTTTAGTCCTTAAAAAACCCATAAACATAAAAAACAATGGCGATCTCAGTACAAAGTGCTTTAGCTAAGAGAGCATTCATTTATTTTTGGAGCAATCGTACCGTGCTTGATACAGGCTGTGTTCTTATCCTGTAGGCGCCACTGTAATACAGATAAGGCTTTAGAAGAGCAGCCTGAACACAGCCTAGCAACAGTACAGGCACATCCCATTACTGTGTTTTAATAACAAAGATATTGTGGGGCTTATTGTGTTACCCAGTAAAATCCAATAATGACTGAAAGTGGCAAGTTAACCTCTCTGTATCCAGCAGCTGTTTGCAAAGAAGTAATTTGATCACCTTTGTATTTAGCTTTCTATCCCAACTTTTTGTCGTTCTTTTTACACAATTCAGTCTGTCTTCATAAAAATAGACTGTCTTTCCAGAATATCTGATTTATGATTTGCTCCCAATGCGGGAGTTTATCCCATTCTTAAATGGATTTCGAAGAACAATCAATGCAATCAGTGTTGCAAAACCTGTTTTGCTCTCATCATACAGCATAGATTGATGTAATGGAGAAGCATCCATATGTTCTCACTGAAGCAGTTTCAAATGCTTGCTGGGAATGTGTGTGTTCATAGAATAGTACTGGCGGCTCAGTCAGTCACACTAGGCTATGGCCAAATATATCTTTGAGTGTCTGTCAGCCTATAGAAGGTGGTGGTGGTTACGGGAGCCTTGCCTTTCTGTATAGTATGCTGTGCTTTACTTCTCCTGATCTTCATGGAAAGAAGCTAAGCTAGACTCCCTTCACACACTTTATTTCAGATGATAGTGTTATCAACAAGTAGACTTTGACATCAGGATTTCCTTGGATTCTTTTCAGCTACAAGACAAACCTGCTGATGGCTCGTTTTCTGCAAAGAATGGAGAATAAATCATGATGTGCCTTCATAGCTATACCTTGTGTAACTGGCTTTTCATACCATGTTCGGGTTGACAGTTTGTGTTGCTGCTTTGAAAACAATTCTATCAATTGAGTTTGTCCAGCTGATATTTAAAAAAGACTTCTCTTTGAAATAAAGCATAGAAAATGGATTGGCTTTATTTAACATTAAGAATGAATAAGGTGAGTTTATGAAAAATGTTCTGGTCATAGTCTAGTTTAGAGCCTTTGCACAAGAAGAGTTAAAACAGTGGTGGTTTCATTTCAGCTGCTATTATTCAATTTTATCATTAATTTTATTGTCAAGTGCATTAACTCTTGTGTTTTGCATGTATAATACAGTTAGCTGAAATCTTTATTTCCTGTCTGTTTTCTTAGATAGGCATTAAATACAACTTTGTTTTTTAAAAACCTGTTCTGGTTCATAATTTTGTGCTGTTTCAAGTAGGTTTGAGTAAAATAAAGTCTTGGTTTAAAGGCACTACCCTGATTTTCTTTTGAAGAGATTCTTTTATTTTCCTCCCCAGTTATTGGAGTGTGGTGGGAACCTCTTTGACGCAGTCTCTATCGCAGTGAAGGCAGCTCTCTTTAACACAAGGTAAAGCACAGCTCTCATTTCATGTGGGTAGAAATGGCATGGGAAGTGAAAGAGAAGTATTCTCTGTGAGCTAAGCATTGTTAAGGCTTAATTATTTAAATAAGAAATACTCAAGGCAACTTGCATTCTGATGCAAGGCAGTCTGCATGCAAGTAACATGAAGTAATGACTTTAATTCAGTTTCTAATAATCAAGTGTCATCTTGCATTATATGCAGAGTCAGGCTCACAATATAACTTGTTCTGTAGCCAGATCCAGAAAAAATGATCTTGATCGTATGGTTTTGTTGCAAGTTGTTGAAGGTGTTTGTGTTGATGCCTTGAGGGTTTAAAACAAGAAGTATTTACTGATAATGTGATGCTCCTGAATAAGAAGGCCTCTTGTCGATGTGACTGCCGATTAGTAGCTAGCCCTGTTTTCCCACTTCTGATGTTCTTTCTCATTAACTGTTAGTCTAGAGTTCTTTTTAAAAGTAAGAGGACAAAGTGGCGCTGTGAGATTGCAGGGAGGGGGAAATGATGGGTCTGTAAAAGAACTTTGCCCCATGCAAATATAAATAAAAAGAATGGAAGAACAAAATGAATGACTAATGCAAGTGTTAGTGTGTGTGCTTTAATGATCAAATTCAATAATTTTTTTTTAATCTTCTTTATGTATGGATGAAAGGGAATACAGAGTTTTGTAGCACCCTTAAGAAAGAAGCTAGTGAATGGCTTTGCTAAAAAACTTTCTTAGCAAAAGTAGCTGGAAGAGGTGCTAAAGTTAGGCTGTCACAGGCACAAATGCTTTAAAAGTGGATCTCAAATTGTTCTTCAGCTGCAAATTAGAGATCTGCTACAGTCACTGGCATAGTTCTGGCTTATTCATCAAGGAGTCGGCACCCAGTACTAGAACTAGAAATGTACGTGCAAGGAGAAGAGGAAAATACAGTTTTGAAGACAGGCAGTGCATCGGGATATAAACACTTTAAAACACATCTAAGACTACAATTTATGTCTGTGACTGAGAAATTTCCCATGTTAATCAAGTTCTCAGCAGTAACTTCTAAGAGTAGATTGTTTTTGTAGCATGAAGAAATACTGTCACAGATGTAATAGCTCACGATAGAGTTGGTGGTACACTAAAGGGAAGAAATGCCTGCGTCTTTGTGTGTGAGCTGCCAGGATGCAAAAGTCGTACAGTTACAACAGTTGCTCCCATGTGAGTTGTTTTGCAGATCCATGGCACGTACTTTATTTACAAGATAACTAGGTCTTTTTTCTTATTTCAACTAGAATCCTAGTTCTGGGAGAAGATAATAAAAAGGTAATTTATAGAAAGAAAGAAAAGGAAATCTGTTGCTTTGGTAACATGAGCAACATAAAGAATGTAATTGTTTTAATGATTCTGCTTTTTAATTTTATTCTTCTGAAAACTGTATCTTTCATATAATCTTTAATCAAATCAAAATGTGGTACCATATGACACAATGCAAAGCCTGTTATTTTTTGAACTGTGAAAACCCTGTCTGTTGATCTGAGCAGGGAATGCTGGTACGTCTGATCTCATCCGAGCTCAGAAAGTCGAGAGATGAAATTCAGAGTGAAAACCTGTTGTCCTCATTCACTGTTCCTCTCCCTTTCCTTTGGTACCTACTAAGTTTTATTTGGATTGACACAAGGTTGTTTAGAGTAGCTGCCCACTCTCCATAAAATATTGTCCCAGCAAGACGTCAGTTTGAGGATCACTTCAGATTAAGTGTTCTGAACTTCGCTTGACATGTGTGTCCCTCTTTGAGTCTTCCTTGCCTTTCATAACCTGTTTACAACCAGGCTTTCATTATAAGTGTTTTCAGATCTTTGTCAGCCTTGACAGCAGCCTTGGAACCAAGAGCAGGGAGCTGAAGCTGCTGTTTTTTCTGTGAAGCTCCAAATTTTCAGATGTTCAGATAGGCATTTGAAAACCTGAGCTTCATCCTTAAAATCTTGCTCTAACCACTTTTATAATAGTTATCGACACATTTTTCTTTGTGGCTAAAAAAGGCAAAATAGTAACTTTAAGAATTTTGTGCAAGAATTACGGGATCTAAATCCTATGTGTGTCAGACCTGACACTTTGTATCCCCTCCAGGCACAGAGCAAGGACAGTATGACTGTTTTAGGGGGAGCTCCTTGGAGTTTTGTAGTGTTTATTATGTTCTAAAAACTATATTGAGATCATGTGCAAAAGATAGCAGGTATCAAAACTTTCTTAACTGTGTTTCTATGGTGCTCAAGGCTGAATTTATCCACGATCAAAGTAGATACTACAGAGTGTGTGAGTAGCTGCTATGTCAGGACTTAGCATTAAACTTGATCCTGTGGAATACACCTACTCACAACTGAGGTAACAGAAACTAGGCAAGGTACAAAAGCTACACAGTTTATAACACCTCCCTTGAAGATGTGGTGGTTTTTTGCTGGGCAGCATAGTAGAGGTAGAGTCAGTGCCTGCTTGCAAGTTATGCTGCTTGGTTTTTGCAGTTGTGAATTGTGGGTCTGCAGCATACAGAAAAGAGCATTGTTAGTTGTGTGACTAAGTCCTGCTCTACAGATTTCTGCCCTGATTAGTTGCAGGAATCAAAACACAAAAATAAAAGCTGCAAAGTAAACATGCACAGCTAGTTCTTAAGATAAATCTTCACAAGCTGGGAGAGGAAATCTTGTTTGCTGGAAGTGTTTTGTATACACTCTCGTTGCCTAGTTTTTGTGTGTATGTATGCCCTTTTTAAGCCTCTGTGATGCTTGTGTCTGATCAACTGTCTTTTTGCCTCTGCAGTAGTTCTAACTTGTACCTCTCTTATCTGTTCTTGGCCAAAACAGCTCCTTGCAGGCATTTTTCAGGTATTAATTCTGGCAACTTTTTCTTGCAGACCAAACATTGTTCCAGTTTCATAGCTATTTTAGGATGAAGTTAAAAATTGCTAATTCTTACAAATTTTCTTGCAATCTTCCTTCTTTGTTAAACACTGCTCTGGCACATACACTTCTTGTCTAGGCTGTTGTCCAGTGTTATCCACTGTCCTGGGTAGCTTGAGGGTTAGTGACCTTGTGACTTTATTCCGTCAATTTTTAATGGAATATTTTTAACCTCAAAATAGGCTTTGATGCATTTCCAGTGAGTTGTTATGTAACTTTGCAAAGCATTTTGAGTTTCATTTCAGGAAAAAGTACACACCGCAGTTGTGCCACTTACAGGAAGTTTTAGTTTTAGCTTGGCTCAGACCAGTGTTGTTGTAAGGAATTTGTTCTCACTGAAGCAGGGTTAGCTGTTTGTGAAGCACTCTCCTCTAGGACTCAGCCGCAAATAACTAAAATGCTCTTCCAGGGAACAACAAAACCACTTTGCGTTGGTGGGGGGAAAAGTTCACTAGATCAGTCCCTATCTCCTCATTTAACGGAGATTTGGTACAGAATGTGTAAAAGAATGGAGCCTCCAGAGTCTAGTTATAAAACACAACACTACTGCAAACGTACTAATACAAAAACAGATTGTAGTTACATTCCACGTGGTTACTGAAGTAAGCTTTCTAGTGACATCTTGAAATATTTTATGTTTTCAAGTGCAAATGTGTTAAAATGAGAGCAGTGTGGTTGAGCTGTGTGGAGGTTTTACTGCCCAGTAAAGTCTCTCAGCCGGTACCCCACACCAGTGGTCACCTGGATAAATGAGGGTATATAGGACATTGAGGTTCTTGGCTTCTTGAGATTTCATCCTCTACTAAATTGTTTTAAATTACTTTATTAGTTTTGCTACGTAAGCTGCATTAAATCATCCTGTAAAACTCCCATTAAATGGCTGTAACAAATATTATATATGTATCGCTGATAAGGAGCCTGTCTAGCTCATTTGCGAGAGAGCTCATCACAGTTGAGAAGAAAGCATTTACTGGATTTCTGCCTGGGTTTTTCTCCCTGGTTATTGCTTTTGTATATCTGTCCTTAGAGCTGTAGAGTCTTCTGGCTTCATAAAGAATGAGACATCTTGCCAATCTTCCCATTTTGCTAAAGAGAAAGGATTTTACTACTGTCATCTTTTTCCTTTACCCCAAGTCTCCTTAGTTGGTGTCCCTCTTTCCTAAACAGCTTTACAGCTTGCATTTGCTGCAGATGTCACAGCATTGCTAAGCAATGCAATTGCTGTAGTTCCGACAACTTCGCTGTTGTCTGCAAGGTTAGGAACCACAGTACGAAAGGATTCACTCTTAGTCATTTCTCTCCTGTACTTCTGTATAAAGAATTGTTCAGAATTGCATTGTCCAAATTTCAAAATAATCTCTCCCCATATATTAATGAAAAAAACAGTTGAAATTCTAAGGATTTGAATGATGTAAATATGATGATTGTATCCTAAATGTCTTCCCACTTACGATGTTTTCTTCCTAGTCTCAGTGAGGGTGTAGTTAATACTTTGATAAAATTCTGGATTTTTTCCTAAACATTTAGCCTCATTTAGAGGAAAGGGCACTTCCTGGAGTTCAGACTGTGTGACATCTCTATTCATTATCTGTTCTGACAATGATTTTGCACATTTTGTTTCTACAGGATACCCAAAGTGCGTATTCTGGAGAGTGAAGAAGGCTCTAAAGAGATTGAGCTGTCTGATGACCCTTACGATTGTATGCGACTTAACGTGGACGAGGTGCCCTGCATCGTCACATTAAGCAAAGTAAGCCTGACAAATCTCCGACCTTCTACCTAGAGACTTCAGTTTCTATTAACTTCACTTGTTTTTTCTTTCCCTAGAGATAAAATTTGTGTTGCAGAGATGGTCAGTGTCCACTGTGTATATATTTGTTCATTCCTGGCCTCCTAATTGAGAACTCTTACCAAATAAGGGTTTTTTTTCCACCTGTGACTTACAGATTTCCACTTGATGTATTCTTAAAATGCATCTTCTTGCATGCAGAAGAGTTGTTTATTATTTTTCATCTACTCCTTGCTCAACATCCAGAGCAGCAGATACTTTGGTGTGCTAAAACAAAAGGGTATTGTTGTGAGGCACAGAGCTTGTGTGATCTGCCTGGGGTTACACAACAAGTATTTGTCGCTGGGAACAGAACTCTGTTTTCATGGGTGCAATACTGTCCTTTCCTTTCAAACAGGATTTTGTTGCCCATATATAGCACACAACTAACACAGTTGATTTACTGGATGCTGCATTTTCCAATGCAAGAGTTAGTAATTTACATAGTTACCTGGAAGTTTGTCTTTTAAGCAAGTTTCATAAACAGTGGAAAGGCCACCATTGAACTGGGGGCTCACCTGAGCCTCAGGGTGTGTAATTTTCACCTAGCAGGGAGGAAAGTCTATGCTTGGAGTTGGGGGAATGGGGAATCTGGAGTTTCATATAGATAAAAGAATGTTCAGAGAGGAAAACAGTGTGAAATAGTGACATGCTTATCTCACCTCCGTTATATATGCACACATAAACAGTCTCCCAAATTAAGTACTGTGGTGTCAAGTCAGTCACATGATATTAGGATGGGAGGCTGTAGATAGCCAGCAGAGCTACTACTCACAGTTTAACCTCTTAATAAAGAGCTTAGACAACTGCAAACTAATATGTCATTTTTTTCACTGACTTACAGATTGGATATAGGCATGTAGTAGATGCCACCCTTCAGGAGGAAGCCTGTTCTTTGGCCAGCCTGCTTATTTCTGTGACCAGTAAAGGCGCCCTCACTTCTATTAAGAAACTGGGGAAAGGTAGCCTTGATCCTGAAAGTATTTTTGAAATGATGGAGGTAAGGAGTTTGGAGCAGTTACTGATGATACTGCGTGAACTGGAACTTGAGTATGTGAAAAACTGCAGTAAGGATTTCAAAAGCAGAGATCCTGGTGCTTTTATTAGGTGCACAAGGGAGTTGCTGAAGGTCACAGACAGTTCCTTTGAAATAGAATCTAATATGAATGGAAGTTATCTAAAACTTTTTTAGATGCCTAAAATGTGTGGTAGTCACAGGTGTTTGAGTCAAGTACCTCACAGCTGTAAGACTGAAAAGCTTAAGTTGATAAACTTCAGTTGAGAGTAGTTTTAGAGAACATGTTCCCTCTCTCACTGTTTCCCTTAAAGACTGAAAGAGCAAAACTTCTAATGTGGTAAAGTCCCTATAGAAGTAGAGATGATACTTCAAATTGCTAGTGTACAGAGTCCTCTTATAGTGCAACTGTTCTCATTTTATGTTTGGGGTTTTTTTTCTTTGCTCCTTTATTTGGTTTCTGATCTGCCTCTACTCCAAGAAAATACTAGTATCTGGATATTGTTCACATCCACATAAGAATTCCATTTTAAACCTTTCTTGAGGCTCTTCTTAAAACTATCTTCCAGTATAAATTCTCATGCCTGGTTCAGAATGAAAATTAAGTACTTCAACCTGGCTCTGTTTCCTAGAGATCCAGAAGTAATTTTAGTATGGCTGTAGTGAGGAATGCAGAACTTGGAGCCAAGCTTGCAAACAGTGGGTCTCAAGTGGAAATTACATGCTAAGTTTATATGAGACTTCACTGTTTCATGTTGTTGATCCAAAGTGCTCATCTTGGGGGTACTGGTAGACTTTATTTGCATCCAGAGAGTTCACTTATCCCCCTTATCATCTACATAGATGTGCAGAGGGGGGTTATCTCCAACTTGGCATCCTAACAAAATCAAACTTCAAGGGACATCTGATGTGTCTTCCTTGCTCAAGTTAGATACAGGTTTGTGGTAGAAGCTGGCCCACGTGCAAATTATCTGCACAAAGCTGTGATTGGAGCCTCCATTTTGATCACAGATTTCACTCTACATTGAGCCCTAAATAGGAAATGAATTTGTGCAGTTCCATTTTATAGGCTACCCGTAAAGGCTGTGCTTGGAAATATATAATGCTCATGTAAACGCTAATCAGAGGTGCATATGCATTAGGCTTCTTTTACTGAGTTTGTGATCTGATTCGTAAGAGAGGCAAGCAGGATAAGACGGCAGCAGTGTTGTGTCAATACCAAAGCTCTGCACAGTTCCCATTCACTTTGACCTGGTGTGGGGGGTGATGTCCTACATTTGAGGAGAAAAATGTGCGCAGTGTATCACCCCTCAGGACTCCAGACTGCTGCTGTGGTCTTTGTCCCAGCGCAGAGCTGTAACAATTCTTGTGTGCACCCCCCTTTATTTAGCATGACTCATGGTGTCTAGGATTGACAGCTACCCTGCTGCATCAAAACCCTTCCCAAATTTGCTTTGGTACCGTGGGCCATATTCTGTCTCCTGGTTCTTTGATGACGAATGTGCCTTATTTTAAAGTTTGTGCACCCAAGGTGTTGGCAATTGTCATCAACAGGTGAAAGAGAGCTTTGTGGTCAGCTGTATGGCAGGCATAGGCTTCGTTGCATAGATCAGAACTAATAAACTCAGTTTAATATAACCCGTCTTTGGCTCTTTAGGGACAGGTGGGCTCTCTTCATCTCTGCATGAAGTCAGTATTTCAGGTCATTTAGAGAAACCGTGGGGAAGCTCTAATAGGCACCACTAGCTTAAAATCTTTATTTCAGTATTGCCCAATGTTTCCCTGCCCTGCAGCTTCCACAGTACAATAGTGCATGTGGGAAGAGTAGAGGCTGGTATCAGAGCTAATCCTGGTGGATTTTCACTGCTGAAGTTTATTTCTGTAAAGAAAACCTTCTGTTAACGCCTTTCAGGTCCTTGGACGGTACAGAATTGGCTACTAGGCTACTAGGAAAGCTAAGGCCTCCTTAG